TCCACTGCGCGGTTAGTGGAAACCCTACCGCCTCCCACGAGCTGCGTTGTCTTGGACAAAGGTCGTGGGCCGGGAATTGGGACCCGGCAGTTCAGACGAATGCACTGGCAGGAGCACATGGCACGTAAGCGGGACCACTCCGTAAAGGTAAAAAGGAGGCCTGGTTGGAGCCTCTAGAAAAGGAGGTTGGGACCCGCAGCCTGTTCGGAAGCTCCGCTAAACTCGCGACCGTCTGAACCGTGGCGGCAACAACAACAACAAATGCACAAGCAACAGCAGCAACAACAACAACAACGACGACGACGACAACACGGACACGAAAACACGACGACTCCTGCTGCGCTACGGAGGCGCAGCAACATGAGGACGACAACGACTAGTGGACCTGCATCATCTACTCATCATCTGCATCATGGCCGGCAGCAGCTTCACCGATCTGTGCACGTTGCGGCTCCAAACAACCCTTGCAGGCCTGCAGGCGGTCCACTGCAAGCAAAACTGCCAAAACAAGGCCCAAGTCTGTCGCCCCAGGGCTGACCACCTGGCAAGGTCAGTCACGACTACCACAGTGAAAAGACGCCTTCCCGACTCTTCACATTCGTAGACTACTGCACCTCTTCGGAAAAGACTTCGTGGCTCTATGCTCGAAGCTTCAACCTGTATAACCTTTCAAGCCCTCCACCCAACTTGCTGAGTGCCTAGTCAGTTTTCCTCACCCTGACAGCCACTCAACGCATCTTGTGCGAGCCTGGACGTGAAGGGTGTCTGGCAGGCTCCCACCTCCCCTGTCAAGGGCTTCTTGCCGCTCTCGAACTTACGTTTGCCAAATGCGAAAGGGCACCTGCAAAGTGTCGCTTCTGCCACGGATCGCTTCCGTGCATCCTGCACATGCAGCCGCCCATCCAGGCCTGATGCGCTGCATTCTTTCGCCCCCCCTCCTCCCCGACTGCTCGGTTCAGGCTCCAAAAATCTTAGCTGCCCGCCCTCGAGGCCTCCTGTCACCTGGCGCAAGGGAAAGGGGGAAAGGAAGTGTCTTCAGTCTCTGGTGGCCCACAGTGGGCCTGCAGCAGGACCCCCAGCCGGCTTCGCAGCACGAAGCCGCCAGGGCCGGCCTGGGCTGCCAGGCAGGAAGACGGAGGTTACGACCACTCGGCCGAGGCTGGCACGGACTTCCATCGGAACCAGCCTCGCGCCTGCACAGTTCTGGGCTAAGTCACGCTCCAACGGCTGTCGGGGCCCTTCAATGCGGAGCGGGCAGATGGCAGTCTGGGTCGAGGTTGCCACGGGGCGTCTTAGCAGGACCCAGACAATACCACAAAGTCAACAAATGCTAGGCCTAACAGGGTCAAGCACCGGGCCCACAGCAGGCAGGGGAGCTCTCCGCTACACCCCGGCCCTGTTCCTGCCGCTCTTGATGTACTTGTTTCGTGTTGTTCTCCCATGTACTGTGGTGAATGCCTCGCCGGGACCTGCAAAAACCAAGCGAGCCTCAAGGATCAGTGCTTCTGGATGGTCCGCTTGCGCAAGTCAAAGGCATGCAACATCATGCGATCATGACATATGCCATGGCAGACGGTCAATCTGTTTAGCCTAAATTACTGTCGTCGGGGACATGCTGTGTTCCTGCTGAAGGTTATGTGGCAGACTCGTCCACGCCCGCTGAAGTTGAAGTCCCATCAATGGCATGTAGGCCGCTGCCAAACAAAATCCGACAACAAAACCACGATGTCTCACATCAGTCTAAAAGTCCCCCGTTCTGAAGGAATGCAAACTGCTATCTTCCGAAGATCGAGCCCACGCGATCAAGGGAAGGAACCTGACCTCAAAGCTCTGGGACATTCCGCGTCCGGGCCTGAAGCGCCTCCCACTCCAGCGTGGCGAAGGGGCTCTCACTGCTGCTTTTCAAGATTTGGCAGCTGCCATCTCCCTGGCAACACCAGAAGAGATGACTAACTTTCACAACATTCTGGTGGCTTTACAGTAACCTGGCAGTAGTAACCTTATCATAGTGACGTCCTGATGAAAACCCTATAATAGCCTTTAGCTTCCTTGAGGTACCCATTCCAGCTTCTGGACCTCAAGGGAGATCTGGCAGGCTGCGAGCACCTTGACAAATGCACTGCAGCTGATCTTTTTAAAGTGTTTCAGCTTACCTTGTTCTTGCAGCGATGATACTTATCAACGCTGCGATGCTCATCGCACCGAGTCGATGACCGCAGTGGTTCTGTTACATTCTGTTACTATTTCTCTGCGTTACCCATGCTAGTACTGGTGGATGTGCTTTTAATGGTACTGCTACACCTCCGCAGATGAGCGTCGGTTGCTGCCGCAGCCACTAGAGTTCTGCTACTTGTACTGATGCGGCTGCAGCTACTACTGTTGCCTGATGGATTCCTCCTTCTCCTCCACCTCCCACAGCCCTTCCTAGTCCTAGTATCGCTAGTTACTCTTCCAACTCCTCTCGCGCTCATACGTCGCCTCCTTCTGCCCTCCTGTTGTTGCCACTGCCTGCCTCGCGGCACCACCAACACGATAGCACCACTGCCGGGCTCCGAGCGGCACCGTCTTGCCGAGCAATGTTCAGCTGAAGACCTTGAGCCTGCCCAAAGTGAAAAGTGCCAAACAGCTCAAGAGCTCGGCCAATGTTGATTTTGAAGCCAAGACTGTCTGCATTCGTGAACTTATGGCGCCATGAAGACTGAATATCGCGAAGCCACCGCGCAGCCGTGCAAACAACCGATTACACATTGGAATGTGAAACTTCTGAAGGCTTGCACTTGCATAAGCATGTAATTGCGTGTGTGCATGCAGCAGTCATGCAGGCATGCATGATGCATGCATGCATGTACGCATGAATGATACTCTCCTAGACATGTACAGCACAGGGCTCTAGGGGCCAGAGTGGCGCCCCATCACGACAGCCCATGGCCATGCACAGTGAAGACCTTCGTGGTAGTGACCCAGCCATAAAAGTTGATATGCGTATGCATGCATACACGTACGAACGCATGCACTCATGCATGCTTGCATGCGGGGGAGGAAAACCTGCTGAGTAAGGTAGAGGAAGAGATAGACACGTGCCTTTCAACACGTCTATACATGCATGCATGATGCATGCGAAGGGAGGGATATGGGTTATGCACATACATATACGTACACATACACTTTTACGTATACATACACACATATGTATATGTATATGTGCGTGTATATATATATGTACATATCTAAATAGATACGTACATTACATCCTCTTGTATGTGTGTGTAGATTCAGTGTGGATGTTCCTGATATACATACATATGTATGTGTATAATAATTGTGTTTGTGTGTGCACGCATGTATATCTGCACATCCGTATGTCTGCATGTCACCTGTATGCACGCACGCAAAAATGTGCGTATGTATCTATCTGTCTAGTTCTCAACTAGATACACATTTACTGGATGTTTAATCTTCTGTGCATAACCCGGCTTCCGTACCCCAAAATCCTGCACAACTGCAGGTCCATTCTTGGTGTGCATGCTCGAAGGAACATGTTGTTCCGGCCAAGACGACACAGAAAAGAAAAGTAAGAAAAAGAGCAGTATCAAGAATAACAACACTCGGAAGCCGACAAAACGCAAACAAGGGGAAGTTGTTCAAACATTCGCGACATCAGTGCTAATGAGCGATGGTAAAAGGACTCAGCCGACATGACATCAAACGGAGCCTATTTCTACACCTGCATTGACCTAACATCAACAGGTGCAGCTCGGCTTTTGCTTGCAGTCTGTGGTGTTGTACATGGCAGAAGGGCCTCTTCGCTGTGTTGACCTCTTATTTCTATAAGAACTGTACTGACCTTAAGCTTTGTAGTTACATATTGATGCAGTTATGCAAATACTTGCTCATTTTCACGAGTGTATGGACACAGATGTCCACAAACCATACATGCATTAACACATACACCCAGCCTTGCTTAGACACTGGTCAACCCCGTGTGCCCCACTTTCTTCCCAATGGCTGCAAGCTTTGTGCAAGCGTGGTAGCAAGTAGCGGCCACCCGGACCTTCGGATGAGTGGCCGCTTTTGCATGACTTAGTACTGCGCATGACAAGATCTCCAGTCGGCCGGCTTGTTGACACTGGCTTCGACAGAGAGTTGGCAGGTTTGGGAAACGGCACGGCCTCGCGCCCGAACGGAAGCTGTAAGCGATCAAGGAGGGTACGAGAATCAAGCCCCCATATCTGCGACTAAGCTGGAGACTAAGCTGCATCATGTGAGTCCGAGAGCCAATGTGACATGGTAGGCTGGGGCTGCCCACGGTTAAACGAATTCACCCCGACATGCATGCTCACATGCCGGGAAAGCTAGATGACGAGGCATTCTCAGCTTAAGCCCTGTCTCTGTAAAGCCTTCAAAGCATGGCCACGTCAAAGAAGTCGGAAAACACTTCGGGCCCCAATGTGGGGCAAGTTAGGAAGCACGCAGCACGCACTCTCGTGTGGAGATTGCCGCGGCCGGTGGCTCCTCCGCATGACAGGGCTGTGTTTCTTCGGTCCCGGACAAGGCTTAAGGTCTGCTTCCGGCGAACGCCTGCAGCGGAAGACACTCGGTTCCACCAAGGGGAACTGCCTGAGCAAAAGGAGCTTCAAGGATGCGACTTCTTACCTTTCCGGCCCTCGCTGAGACTAGGACAGCATTCGCCGAAATCAGCATCGGGTTGGCTGCCCTGCACACCCGTGTACATTGCGTTCACGGGCCACTCAGTCCGGAATCTTCGCCTGTACGGCCCTCGGCCTCAAACATGAAGACTGTCTCTGTTCGCCAAGCTGCTCAAAGACAGTGTCCTCCTCTGTGGTCTGGTAAAGCATGAGGAGCCCCGTCCAAGCGGTGCTGGCGGTGTGGATCATCCTGCAACCAGCAAAGGGACAGTCCCGGCCAGGCGAGGCCTTCAGGCCTTTAGACCCGATGCACAACAAAATCTCAAATGCCACCAGGACTCCGCAGGTACGAGAAGCCCATGCCAGTGTCTGATCCGCCAGGAAATGGACCGTACGAATCGTGCCTCACATGCCGCTTCAAGCGTCATGCGTGTTGCTCTTTCATCACGATGCTCAAACAGGGATGCGGAAGGGTTGGTGAAATAAATCCATGTCGAACTCACGGCCATGCCACAGAGTGTACTGCTGACCGTTTCCACCACGCACCTAGGCCAAGATCGCAGACACTGGCACAAAAAAATACAGGCAGTAGGCAGCATCAGTGTCACGTGTGTCCAGGCAAAGGGCCGAAGCCGGAACTGCGCCGTAGGTCTGCAGCAGCGTGCGGAGCGACAGCCGGCTGGCGTTTAGCCGATACTTCAGCCTTGGGTGGACGGAATGAGCCAAGAAAGCTGTGCCAGCAGACAATGCCACACGTGCCCTGCATCCGTGTCCCCGGCTGGAGAATGAAATCGGCATCACTGCCATCGGAATGTCGGTAGAGGAAGTGTGCCAGGGCCATCCTAGACCCAGAACGGCTCTCCCGATCTCTCCACCCTATCTGGTGAACTCTCAGCACTGCAATGCCGTCAGAGAATCGCTGCCCCGGCTGTCTCCTCCCACTGGATCCCGAAGCCCTGCAGCGCTCAGAGCCGTAATTCGAACTCCGCTCAGAGCCCACCGGGCCTTGGAGGTGAACTTGGTCCCGTGCCTTCAAAAGGGGCGCTTGTGCGTTTGATTCTGCTCTAACTCTTCAGACTCTTGCTCTTGCTCTTGCGGTTGCTAGTGACTAGCGCTCAGCGCTAAGTGCTATTGCTACGGCTATTGCTTGTACTAGTGTTCCAACAAAATTTGTAATTGCTCTATCATTGTTAAAGTTGCGGAAAAGTCCCGTCTTCTAGCATCGATCATGCAGGCAGCCAAGCGGCAAGTGAGCTGGCGGTTCCTTGCCGGATAGCTTGTCAACATCTGTGTCCCAGAGCCAGTCCTGCAGATCTCACCAGCGGCTCGAGGTCTTCCCTACTATCTCTGAGCTCTACCAAGAAGGACCGTGATAGCACAAGCAATCGCCGCCAAGGTTCGCTGTAAATGGAAAAGCTAATGGCGCTCCCCACCGCACCCTGGGCTGGAGCTAGGCCGACTGCAGGTCTCGAGGCCGAGGATGGAGTAAGCTCAAACCATGCGCCGAGCGTCATGATTCGGATCTGCCTCCGCGAGGAAGCTCCAGAACTGCGCATCGGTTGGCCTCAGTCGGTCTTGGCTGCCATGCCAGGAGCAGGTACCAGCCGGATACCCAAAGCGGTTGGAGCCGCTTCGCTGCTATGAAAAGGCATGCCGAGGCCGCCACACCAGGTCGTAGTGTGACCTGACGCAGGTCAGTTCTGGGAAGGTGGCAGCACGACGCACACGACACGGCAAACCCCACCAATCAGACTAGCCGTGTCATGGAAGCTCGCAGACATACCTGTAATTCCACAAGCTTTGAACTCTAAACTCGAGACTCCCGACCCAAAGCTCAAAGCCTTCGCAAAACATCGGCTGGCCTGCCAGTGTCGCACCTCACTTGCGCGCCGGTGCCCAGCGCATACGCGTCTGGGTAGGCCTGCTGCAGGTCATGCATTTTCCGTGCTTGGACAACCTTGGGCATGAGTCTACAGGTTGAAGTTGAAGAAGTCTTAGTTTTCACCAGACTGAGACCTCGTGCCGCCCGTGCATCTTCTGAATAAACCGCGATGCTCGCTCTTGAAGCTCGGCGTTCCCGAGCATGCCTGGAACAGAAGGTTCCCTATGATGCAGCACGACTACGAAGCTGCCAGGGCTTCCGAGCACAACGGTCAGACTCCGGCTGACTCAAAACCAGTGCCTGCTAAAGCAAAGATGTCGATCTGGTGCTCGGTGGCACGTTGATGAACTCGCGTGGGTGGCAAGCGCGCCAAGAATCCACCGAAGTCATCATTGCAGGTGCCTTAGCACTTCCAGGCCCAAACTACTATCCAACACCCTGAACGAAAGAAGCCATCCAGATCCTTCGCCAGAGCACCTGCCGCAGAGATGGCCTGCGACGGGTGCTCGGACACACAGAAATACTCTTTGGCCAAAGGGAGGAACTCTGTATTGCGCCCAGCCATACCCAGAGTATACCCAGCCTTGCCTCGAGAATATCATTAGCAGCAGTGCCGTAGCAGCCTTGCCCTGTCACCGATGCGAAGTGCGCCAAAGCCAAGGCGGCCCAGGCCTCCGTTGTCCAAGTGTTGGCAGAGGCTTTAAGGGTGCTGTGTTGGGGCCGTGTAAACACATTTCCTGTTCGCACATTCACGTTGTCGTTTCGGAAGACATGGTTGGTTTTCTCGCCGCAGAAGCACTTGGCGCTGGCGTGCAGCCTGCCGGCGAAAAGCCCTAAAACAACTTAGACAAGCAGCGTTGTTGCCGGAGTCCACCGCCTTGTCCACAACCTTCGGAGCACCCACCAACCATCACCAACCAAGTGGGTCGAATCCGCGAATGCTACCAAACACGAATGTGGCGAATCGAACTCAATTTGCAGAAGGAAGCTGTCGGCGAGGCATAGCTGGACGCCTGCACACGTGCATAACCGCAAGTTGCCGAACGGCACCTACTAGCTGATACCTGCTACCAGTTGAATCCCAACATGGCTAGCCCCCTAGAGCCCGTCGAAGGCTCTCAAGAGCAGCACCTCCGCGAGCATGTCACAGTCGTAGGACGCAGCGAGGAGACGCACAGTCAGCCCGGAAGGTGCACTGGCGAACAACTCCTGGAGGCGGGAAGCTTGGGCATTTGGCGACCAGTCGTGTGCAGTCCCTGAACCCCAGAAATTCCTAGCCGGGAACTTTATCCCGGTATCCCGATGCCAGCTGCCTCGGGGTAGATGTTCCCGTATTCAGTGGGGTAAAGCAGCCTCGGTGAGTTACGAGAGCTGTGGAACAAATTTCGATTCCAATGCTAAATGCAGCGATCTGCGGGTTGGAGGTGTTTAGGGACTGGGTCTAAGCTCCAAGAACTCAATCCTCTGACCATGCCAGCGAACGCGCTATTGCCAACTTGTCTATACATGCTGGCACTAGGTATCCCCTGTCTTAATTGTTGCATTTGCCAGCCCGTCGAGATGTTGAACATGTTATGCCTACTGCTCTTACAGCTGGCAAAAGCGACAAGAAACTTCTAGCTACATGGCAACGACGATCATCGCCATCCGTGGTATCTGTCTTCATCTTCTGTTCAACCATTGCAAACCCTATGCGTGCTCGTACCAAAACTGCGATGTCCGCTGTGCTGTTCACGATAGTTCTGCTTCTTCTGCAGTTGCTGCTGCTGCTGCTGCTGGTTGCAGGCTACTGTTCTTACTCACCATAAAAGTCGTAGTGACAGCCTGCAACAGCAACGACTGCGGGAGTCGTTGTAATAATGGGAGGGGTAACGGTAGCGGAAGCAGCAGCTAGCCGTAGCGATCGGGCAAGTGGTCGCGGTAGCTGTAGTAGTAGCGGCAGTGGCAGCGTGAGTTGGAGTGGGGAAGGGAGTAGTAGTAGTAGTAGTAGTAGTAGTAGTAGCAGCAGCAGCAGCAGCAGTGGTAGTAGCAGTAGCAGTAGCAGTAGCAGTAGTAGTAGTAGTAGTAGTAGTAGTAGTTGTTGTTGCTGTAGCTGTAGCTGTAGCTGTAGCTGTAGCTGTAGTAGTAGTAGTAGTAGTAGCAGT